TATTGCAATAGCTTTAATTTATTGTCAATCAGGACCTCCGGGTCCTTTTAATTCCAGTGAGATATTCATGCCATCCACACTCACTTAATTGAAATTAATTTGTTTGCTTTAATAATAAGGTTTTTATCGGGAGTGAGTTATTGAGTATATCCTGTAAAATATGTAGACTTGATGAAAGTCAGTCGAAATATTTTGCTAAATGAGTTGATAGCAAGTCAGCAACTACATTAGCTTCTTTGAGACTGGTATTCCAAAGCACAAAAACAATTTAAAAAGAAATGAAAACCTTAAGACAGGTGAATCAGCACTGGTCTCCTTTTATCCATTTGAACTGGGATACAGTATAGTAGTGACCAACCTGTGGCCGACAGGTCCGTCAAAAGCAGCCCCCTAACATTCACACAAGTCTTAAGTTATGTTTAATTATTTGTTTTTCATTTTTTTCTTAATTGAAATTTCTTGATTGATGGCATACATCAGGAAATATTCAATCAAGAAAATATATTTTGTTACCCGTTTAAAGTTGGTATAGTCAAAAAATCAAATCCATTACTGGGGTTTTGACAGACTTTAATCACGTGCATTGCTTGCTAGGACACTCTTTAGAGATTCCACTTGATCAGATACCATCTGCTAAACGTGAGCAGATAAGTGTTTGGACCTCAGTTTGATATCTGTGTGTTTTCCTCCTGAGCCAGCTCAGCTCTCAATCTATTGAAGATTTTATTTATTTGATAGGTTTTATCACAGTAGTTCTCCTACTCTTGCAATCTCTTTTCTATCACTTAGCCACTTACATTCTGAATTAGTCAATTAGGAAAACCGAATTTAGGAGAACAAAGACAGATCTGGATTTTGTGATATTTTGTTCACTTTCTATGGCCTTACTGCTTTGGCTGCTGTCTTCAGATGGCACTGCTGAGGGCAATCATCAGCTGAAATGGGTTACTAAAGTAGTTGGTTGAGGCCAGAACACTGGGCTCAACTTGATGCTGCATTGGGAAGATGGTAAACCTGCTATTCTAGAGAATGTGAGAAAATAAGCCAAATGGTTTCTTCGTGCATGCCTCTCCTGTGATCTTGTATTTGAGAGAAAGCCAAGCTAGACCTGGGTATCCTGACTGAATACAGAAGCCACATCCTGGGAATGATGTCTTTTTTCTTATCATATTACATGTTACATTCATGCAAACAATGGATGCATAACTTGTACCTCAAAATAAACATTGCAATTCTGACTAATCCGGATTTTTTTTAAAAATTATATTCATGTTAAATCGCTTGTAAATTATTCTGCTCCTTATTGCAATTCTTTTTTAAATTATTTTTAAAAGCACAAGGATTGTCTATTAAACACAAAATCTCTTTACATTAGGTTTCCTGTCCAAGGAGGTTCACAGAATTTCACATATATGCACAATCACAACAGTGCATGCAATTACACTGACTACAGTACTGTGAATTATCAGGAGGGGATTCCAAAGTTGAATTCCAGTTTGTAGCTAACCTTTGACAATGTTGCGTGTGTGGCTATCAAGGTATGTCATGTCAGGTTAGAAGCTGCTGGAACCTTACTGCAGTGTGATTAAGACACACTCAATCTATTGAACTGTTCACGTCACATCCACTGTCTGCAAATCACTTGTGTGTTATTAGAGTTTGGCTGCATTCGAGAAATTTTATATTTTGTCAGAATGATTTTTCAAAAGAATATCTTTTAAGCCCCAAAATGTTAAATGTACTAGTTGGTTTAGCTATAAGATTTTGTAAATTAAAATGTGTACGTGTAAATATTTTTGGAGGGGAGGGGGCATCTTATCCTCCTCTCACCTATTATAGATATTCAGTTAACTTTTTCAGTTCTAATGAAGGTATACGGCCCAAATATCAAGTCTGTTTTTCTTTCATTGACCTGCTGTAGACTCCCAACATTTCTATTTTCACTTCAGATTTCCAGCATTTGCAGGTTTCTGTTTTCTTTCTATCATGCACACCTATTTGATTCAATCCACTATTTCAAAACACAGTGCTATGAATTCAATCAAACTCTGGCCGGACAATTCTCTACAGCACTTGGTGATTCCCATTCCACTACTGAGAAATGCTTAGCCATTTATTTTATTGGCTTTGAGTAAAAAATTAAAATCAAAATAAACTTGGGAATCAGTGCTACTTTGGCATATCATTAATGCAACAAATGAACAGGAAAGGTTTTGTTCCCTGAGGAACAGCAATGTCAATCACATATGTGTCAGCCAGTGATCCATTGCAAATAGCACAGCTAAGATTGAAGCTATTTTTCTCTAATAAAGTATGACTGTATCAAAAGCATTTTTCTTAACACCAGGAAATGTTGCCCCTCATGTCACCTTCTGTCAGTATTGAAGCCAACCTAATTGGTAAACCAAGAAAACTGTACAACTGGAGCATTCTTGACAGAAATCAGACCGACTGCCTGAATAATTTTGTGTTATGTACTAGTATAAACTGCACTATTTTTGTGGATGCATTAGTAGCACCAATACTGGATGATGAGAACCTATATTAATTGGATACTTATTGGGAAGAAAAACATTTTACAGACATTAAGAAAAAGCTGAAAAGAACCAACATTAAAACACTGGTGATCAAATCTTCCATTAAATGGCATCAGCTCTGCATTAATTCTGTATTAAATGATAAATTTAAAACTTGGGCACAGGATTTCCTGAAAGATTGCTATCCTGGATTTAGGCTAACCTGATTAAGAAATCTGCGGCAAGTGAACTACCAAATGTTGGAAAGTAATTCTTAAAGGTAGTGGTCGCAATGACCCAATGGGGTTAAAGGCACTAAGGTGTGGTTGTGAGCCATACAGACAAAGGCATGGCAAATGGAGGTAATTTTAGGTTCACTGTCCCGTGGCTCGGAAAGAAAAAACGTTCCAGGTTCTCACTTCTAATGAATACTGTAAATGGCTCTGGAAATATATAACAGTTGAGTATGTTCAAAATAGATCTTAGTTGTACTGAATCTAATCATTAAGAAGACCACATTCGTCATTGCCCAATCTCACAAATGAATGGCCAGCTGGCCAAGTTACCAGAGGAATACTGATGCTCACAGCAGCAGTCCTTTGTGTAAGATATTCCAATAAAACAAGACTAAACTGTTTGCATTTCTCTAGGTTTGGATAATCAGTTCTCCTGGTTTTAAAAACTCCTAACTCTAAGCTCCAAACTGTAATCACTGCTAACATATACCTCACCAGATGATCAGACCTCCTGACAGCTTCAGTTAAAATGATGACCTCGTTGGCTTTAGAACTCGGTACTTTTTGATACATTACAATCATTTTTTAATATCAGGACACATTAATATTACTTTAAATGTCAGAGAAAATGTGAGGATCAAAGCTGTATTGTTCCTGACATAACAGGCCAGTTTCCATCTTTACAGTATGGTCTGCAAATAATTGTCACTACTCTGATTTGATTGGGATCAATTCATTTAATTACTTATCTCATTGTTTATGGGATGTTGCTGGCACAGGATATCTGCCGAGTTTGCCTATATAACATTCTACAGCATATTAAATGTAACTTTATTGTTATTTACTACAACCCGATAGTGGAAATCGGGAACCCTCTCCCTCAAAAGGCTATGGATGCTGGATCCATTCAAATTTTCAAGACTGAGGTGGATAGATAGAGGCTGAATGGTCTACTTCTGTTCCTATGACACATCCTCAGCTCTTATTCATTTGCCTCATTAATTTGATTCCTGTTTACTTTGTGATTCAGGTTGATGTAAAGAGATGTCTCTCTGCCTCTATTTCAAGAACAATTGAGATTTTGTCTTGATTTTCTTGATTTATATAGTCTCCTCATATTCACCTCCAAGATTACTTGGCTACTCATCCCATTGTTGTTAGTAGTATATTGCTGATTACAATTAGATGCTGATTTTTGTTGATTTTGACACTTCATTTTTCATTAATGTCATTCCGTAAGTGCTTCAACATTTATTTTGCATTAAAGAAGCCTTCACATATTTGTAAATTGTTTGAAGCAGAGATTAACAAACAGAATTGATATAATATCCATCTTAGGGGCTGACTGCTTGCCTCTATTTCTATGGGCTAGAAGGTCTGAGAAAAAGGCTGACATCAGACTGATGGTGCGCCGTATCCATGGCCAGAAAAGCATGGCAACCACACCTGGGATTGCATAAGGACCATTCCTCCTGTACTATCCACCGTTGCTTATGGAGAAGGGACAGAGACGCACCTTTGGATTTAGACGGAGGCAAAAGTACCGTGATCTAAACCAATTTCTTTTTCTTCTATGTTTGAGTCAACATATATTTAAAGCTTGAGATCTTTTGAGTTAACATCACCAATCAGCAAGCCTTGTATCATAGGTTTAATACTATTGCTCACCTGATTCATTTCAACAGAAGGAAACAACAGGTCAGGCCCATGTTCCTTTGAATGTAATGTTCTCCGATTTTCACTGTTACTCTAAACCTCCTTCATTCCTGTTTATCCATTGGGGTGCTCTCAGTTTCACAATCGGTAACAACTGACTCAAATCAGTGATGCCAAATAGTACTATGCTAAAGAGGAATTATTTTGTCTTGGCAGCAAAGTAACTAGTTTTTAATTCTAGGCAATGTAGCCCCCAAGGTTATGCATAGTCATTTAAATAAAGTTAGTTACTATGTTTTGCTGAGTTTAATGTATACCTCTTAAGTCTTAAGAAGCTATAAATCACAGAAACCTTGCTACTCGCCAGTGCAGTGGACTGACCATGCCTCCTCTTTCCCTTTGTCTTGTATTGAGTTTTACTTGCCCTGCAGAGAGAAACTGACTAGCAATTTCTCTAGCGAGTCTAGATTGTGTATTCCAATGTCCTTGCAGCTTAAATTGGCTTCAGGAAAATCACATCAAATACAAAGAAGAACGTACAACACAACAACAAATGCCACCTCCTTGGATTAGTTTAAATTTGTAGGAAATCTCAGTCCTTTGGATCTTGACATTGGGTGCAGTCCAACATGTCATCTGAATATTTTTCGACCTGAATTGTCGTGGTATGAAAAGTAAACTTGCTTTGAAGGCTATCAGTAGCTTCCTTCAACACTGTCTGAGCATCTGCATTCTCCTCTGTAATACCAATGACAGACATATCAGAAAGGCAATGCACTTTTGAATATTCAGATATCTGTACCTAATAGAAACTGTAAGCAGTCATTGGATTTTCAAATTTAATTTCTATAGGAAAATAACATGGGAATAATAGATTCTGTATTCTCATGACCTTTGTGTAACATTTTAATAATAATTTTAATAATTTGTTATAAACTTATGTTTCACTGGCTTACCTCATCTTGAAGATATGGTACATAAAGTTGCATGGAATAGTCTGTTTCTAATGCTCCAGCACTATATAGGCCATTCAGGCCCCCAAGCCTATTCCACCATTCTGTCAGGCATGATCTGATAGAATGGCGGAACAGGCTTGAGGGACTGAAATGCCTACTCCTGTTCCTATAGCAATAGAGCATTAGAAACAGGCTATTCAGCCCAACCAACCTGTGCCAGTGTTTATAAATTCCAGTCTGGCAGACTGCTTATTGGATCTTTCTCACCTGTGATTGGCCAATGGACTTGTCAGTCAACCCAATGGCTCACCTGTCTTAAAGGAGAGCAACTCTTTATCTGAGTTTTTCTCGGCCCCTTCCTCCAAGAATATTTTCACCATCGGCCTATGTATTTAAATGTAAATTGCATTGATATCTAGATCCAGCTGATCTGAACTTCTCACAGACTTATTACTCGAGTGCTACCACAATGAGTACAATGGAGCAAATATTGAAGCATTAGTAGGTATTGAAGTATTAGATTAGGTGTTAAGTCTAAATTACTGCTGACCAATTGGAAACTGGTTGCATCCAGAGGCTATATAAAGGGGATAGCTGCGAGAACCTTACTCGAGCAGAGAGCCCAACGTCCGGAGTGAGGCGAGGCCAGAGTGAGAAGGAATTGGGTGAGAGTGGGAAGTAGGTGTAGGTTATATATCTAAGGGGAAGTAAGAGGAGATAGATAATGGCCTGGCAGGTGATGTGCGAGGAATGTGGTATGTGGGAGTTGATGGAGGGCAACCTGAGCCCAGGTGACTTCATCTGCAGCAAATGTCTGCAACTGAGCAAGCGCCAACTTAGAATAGCTGAGCTGGAGTCTCAGATGCAGACTCCTCCACCATGCTGTCCAGGACATTGAGAGGTTCCTGGACAGCATGGTAGAGGAGATCCTCACTCCCCTAGGACTCAGTTATAGCCGCCCATCGCTGTATAAGAGCCATGAGAGAGCTGTACTGGAGCTATCGGGAGGTCAGAGTTCAAGAAAAGGACCACTCCCAGAGGAGCCCAACACACAGCCACCCTTCATTCATGCTAAAAGTGATTGGGTGACGGTGTGACGGGGCAAGAAGAGGGCTTGTTCAAGGCAGAGCACCTCCAACAGAGTACCAGTCTCTAATCGGTTCACAACATTAGCTATCGAGAGCATGGAAGCCTTTCGTGAGGACTGCAGTGGACATTCTGTCCCAACAGGACAAGGGCATGGTTCACAAGGGCAATACAGTTGTGATAGTGGATTCAATAGTAAGAGGCACTGACAGGATCTTCTGTAATCAGAATCGTGAGGCTAGGATGGTTTGCTGCCTTCCTGGTGCAAGGGTAGTGGACTTCACAAAGCGCATGGACAAGATTCTTCGGGGGGAAGGAGAATGTCCAGAAGTCGTGGTCCATGTGGGGACCTACGATATTGGTAAGAAGAGGGCTGAGATGCTCCAGGGTGAGTATCAAAAGCTGGGGAGCAAAATCAAGTCCAGAACATCCAAGGTTTTGATCTCTGGGTTACTTCCGGTACCTCGGACAACAAGGCACCATAATGAAAGGATCAGACGCATGAACGATTGGCTGGAGAAATGGTCCGGAAAAGAAGGTTTACGTTTTCTGGACAATTTGGACCACTACTGTGGGAGGTGGGATCTTTACCTTGAGGATGGGCGGCACTTAAGCAAGGCAGGGGTGAGCTTCCTTGCCAAGGGGCAGATTTAAACCAGTGTCGAGGGGGGATGGGTATCCAAGGATAAACAATGGATTAGAGTTAGAGGAAAAAGACAAGTGGGAAGTGTAGAGCAGGAACAAGTGGACAATTTCCTCAAATGCATGTACCTAAATGCACATAGCTTAGGGAATAAGGTTGATGAGCTGCAGGTTCAACTGGCCATAGGGGGTTACAATGTGGCGGCAGTAACCGAGACATGGCTCAAGCCAGGACAGGAATGGAAGTTAAATATTCCAGGATATAATGTGTTCAGGAAGGATAGAGAAGGAAGCAATAGGAGGAGGGGTGGCAATATTAGTTAAGGATACAATTATAGCTGTAGAAAGGAACGAGGCTCTGGAGGGCCCGACAACAGAATCCATCTGGTTAGGTTAGGTCAGGTTGAACAGGTTTCGGTAGGGGAGTATCTAGGGGACCATAATATTACTAGATTTAGATTACTCATGAACAGGCACAAAGTACAGTCAAGGGTGAAAATGCTTGATTGGAAAAGGACTAATTTTGATGGGCTAAAAAGGGACCTAGAGTTGGTGGACTGGCAACTAAGACGAGCAGGAAAAACAACTCATGAGAATGGGAGATCTTCAAAGATATGATAGCTCAAGGTCTAAATAGATATATTCCCACAAAAGGGAAATGTGCGACAACCAAGCCAGCCTGAATGACCAGGGATATTCTGTCTAGGATGAAAAATAAAATTGAAAAAACAACAATTGGAAGACGCAAGATACTGAGGATAGCAAAGCGCATTATAGAGAATGAAGGAGTGATCTTAGAAGAGTGATAAGACAGCTAAAAGATCGCATGAGAAGAGGTTGGCAGGTAACATAAAGGGGAATCCTAAAATATTTTACAAGCACATAAAGTAAAAAAGGTTAGTTAAAGGTAGGATGGGGCCAATCAAAGAGAATGACGGCAATCTTGTGGAGGCAGAGGGCTTGGCTGATTTACTGAACGAGTACTTTGCATCTGTCTTCACAACGGAAATGGATGCCCCAAATGTCACAGTATTGGATGAGAGGGTAGAGGAAGTAGATCAGATTACTATAGACAGAGAGGAAGTTCTGAAAAGATTGACTGGGCTCAAAATTGATAAGTCACCAGGACCAGATGGGTTTCACCCAAGGTTGCTGTGGGAGATGTGGGTTCAAATAGCGGAGGCTTTGGCCATTATATTTCAATCTTCATTGGACACAGGAGTGCTGCCAAGAGACTGGAGAGTGGCTAATGTTACCCCCCTCTACAAAAAGGGGCAGAAAGACAAACCCGGAAATTACAGGCCAGTCAGCCTAACTTCGGTAATAGGAAAACTGCTGGAGACCATAATCCGGGACAGAATAAATCTCTACTTAGAGGAACATGAGGTAATTAGAAACAGCCAACATGGATTTATTAAAGGCAAATCTTGCCTAATAATTCTAATAGAATGTTTTGAAGAGGTGACTGCGAGGGTTGATGAGGGAAATGCTGTGGACGTTATTTACATGGATTTCAAAAAGGCTTTTGACACAGTACCGCATAAGAGATTAATAAAAAAATTAGAGGCCCACGGTATTAAGGGGACAGTGGCAGTGGTCACAGTCTTAAGATATCTACCAAAAGAAGCAGAGGGGAGGTTAGAAGAAATTTTTTCACTCAGCGAGTTGTTAGAATTTGCAATGATCTGCCTGAAAGGGTAGTGAGTCCGATTCAATAACAGCTTTTAAGAGAGAACTGGATAGGTATCTGGGGAAGATGGGTTTTCAGGTTATGGGGAGAAAGCTGGTGATTGGGGTGAGTGAAAGTGACTTGCTCTGTCAAATAGCCGGCACAGACTCGATGGGCCGAATGGCCTCCTTCTGTGCCGTAATATTCTATGAATCTAGTGACACTTTAAGGGACAATAACAGAAATTGAACAGCTACATTTCTGAAGACAAATAATTAGAAATTGCATAGTGACACTCACCAATAGCAATGTGAACTGAGAGCACAGACTGGCTTAAAGTCAAAGACCAGAGGTGGAGGCTGTGCATGGCTTTCACTCCTTCAATAGAGAGAAGAACGTCCTTCACCACATTGAAATTCATTCCTTTCGGGGTGCCTGAACAGGGGAACAGGATTGTTTTTTTATATATAAGAGCAAAGTATAACTCCCTGAGGTTTTACTTGAATACATGCCTGTACATTTTGTTTTAGCTTCAGTCCAATATGCTTGCTCTGATCTAAAGCAGAGTAGACAGTGTAGCTTAAACCTGTTCCCACAATTTTCACTGATACAGTTCTAATTTACAGTCATTCTCAATGGGATTATTTAAAAAGGAATAAGGTTAGAATTCCCGTTGACCCTGATATAGGTTGGGACAAAGAGGTGTTTCTGCAAGCATTTTCTCTTGTAAAATTCTATGAATTTGGGTTTGAACAAAACACTTCACATGCAGAAACAAATAATACATTTTACTCCATATTTGCATCTTCTTTTCTACAACTATGTTACATATTCCCTACACAGGCTGGAGACTATCCAAGCTTTGTGGCCCGTGGTCCTCTCCACGAAGATATTGCCCAACCCAACTTGCTCAACTCCTAGCTTCCCATTCCCCATCAGATCTAGTTCAAGAACCACATTTTTGCATTTAATCCCTCCATGGCTTTGCCCCACGCTACCATATTTTACCCAGATCAACCCAGCCATTCCCCTTCACTCAGCCGATACTAGCCTACTTCACTCCAGCTTCCTCTGATTTCCTCCACCCCTGCCCTCTTTCCAGGTATGTCTCAAAACGTACCTGTTTTGCTTTTGTTCATTTTCCCCTCCTCGGCCCCTCAAATCCCACCCTCAGTCCAGTGTCCAGCCAGATTTGTCAAATTGTACAAAAGTGTAAGATTCTATACTTATTTTTAAAAATCAAATAAAACATTAACATTATTTTCTATCCATATCATAAGTCATGGTTTTTACTGAATACCAAGTTGGGAGAAAGCAGCTATTGAATAGATTCCACCTTTCTAAGAAATTGATTATATCTATATATGCCCTACTTACCTTCCATAAGCACACGGAAGACATCCTTTAAAATGGTACTGGTGGTGCCCAGGACAAAAATGGAGAAAAGGAATGTAGAAATAGGATCAGCAATTTTACAAGAAGGCTGTAAATCAGAGACAAAAAGCAAAAGAGTGCTGGCTTAATGTAAATTCAACAGGCATGGCAACCAATGTATTTTAACAAGAACAACAACAAAATTACATTTGTAAAGCGCCTTAACGGGAGGATGTCCCAAGGCGCTAAAAGTCAGGGATCAGGACCTGAGCATGGTGGGGGAGGGTTGGGATGAGGGAGGGCAGAGCGCTAGGAGGGCGGTCAGTCAAAAAGGGGGGTCTTAAGTCATGCCTTGAAGGAGGCAAGGGAGAGAGCAAGGCGAAGAGATTGTGGAATGGAGTTCCAAAGGATGGGGGCAGAGAGGCTAAAAGCCCGGCCGCCGATGGTAGGGTGTATCAGGAGGGAGACATGGAACAGGTCAGAGTCTGCTGAACAGAGGGAGCAGATAGGTTGATAGGGGATCAGCAGGTCAGAGAGGTAGGAGGGGGCAAGGCCGTAGAGGACAAGGATTTTGAATTCTATCCTCTGAGGGATGGGGAGCCAGTGGAGCCGGACGTGAATCATTTAACACATGAATCTTCACTTTTTAATAATATGTGTTCACCTACAAAAATACACAGTCACTATGTCTTGCAGTGAATCCAGGGAATTGCTTTAAGATACCTCCTGACATGAAAGGCACCATATCAAATGGAAGGATGCTTTCACTTAAATTTCTTTCTTAAAAGCATCTCAGATGATTTTATGATCCTGCCTAGACGAAAGTCAAAAGCTCACTATATCTGATATAAAGAATGTACAGCATGGAAACAGGCTACTCAGCCCAACCAGTCTATGCCGGTGTTTATGCTTCACCTGAGCATCTACCCACTCCTTACCACCCCCCCCCCCCCACCCCCCACCTCTATTCTCCTGTCCTCACATGAAGGTTTAGCTTCCTCTTAAATACATCTAAACTATCTGACTTATAAATATTGACTGCAAGTAAGTTGGATAGGAAAGCAATTGTGATAGCATTGAGTTTCCTTCTGGAAAACAGTGTGCCTTTTGTTTGTCCTACAAGGATTTCTACACTCTCTTTCTCCAGAATCAACTTTTTCTGACCCTCCATTCCCTCCAAAGAGACCCAGAGTAACGTAGAGTCCTTGAGTGACATAGACAGACCCAGACTGATGTAGACAGCGACTCAAATGAAGGGAGATGGACAACATCAACTGAATATCAGATATTTGTTTCCTTGACAAACTAAAAGTCCTCGTCAATCACAAAGCATCAGATGCATTGCTCCAATGTATGTGATTGAATTTTATGTCGTGATCTAATATTCAACTTTGAAATTTGATTTGACCAAATGATTTTGGTGTTATGTGATTGGAATTTCATGAATTGGTATGAAGTAAAGACAGGAGAATGGAATTCAAAAGATTTGCCTTATTCTCATAAATTGGAAGGCTTGATGGGTTCAATGGCCTCCTTCCTGTTGCTGGCATATTTTTTCTGCAGAAAGTTGCTGTGACCAAAGTAGGGTATCAAATATTTTAAATTATGACAAACTCAAAGTCTCCACCTACTCTTCAATATAACCAATGTTTTCCCTGATATAAATAATAATAATAATAATATTGTATACCTTCTCTTGTGATAGAGGGAGGGCACCTGTGCAGTTTTGTATGGTAACATTTTGATGCCCAACCAATTATAGAATTAAATGGTGAAGGTTTTCTTCTTCAATTAGGTTGAATTAAAGATTGGTATAGTTTAAATCCAAACTAAATTTGGATTCATCAAATCCCATTAGCAGATTAAACGTTTAACAGTTTGGGCTGGTAATGGGATTTGATGCATCCCATTAACATTCATCAAATATGAAGACTGCTAAACAACATATAATCACCATGTTAAAGCATGCTTCTTTTTAATTTAAAAATATCTAGCAGTTTCCTTTTTCAAGTATATATATATTATATAGATTAAATGATTGCCTATTAATGTAATTATTACTTTGCTTCATATCTGAACAGCACTATACGCATGAATGAATTATCCAGTTCATTAAATGTTTCACTATCTAACATGTAATAATCTCTGGGAGCTCTATTTCTGCCCATCTCCAAGAAATCTCCAAATGAAATAGGATTCTAACATGACTGATAAACCTATAAAATCATTTAAGATTACTAATTCCTGTTCCTTAAAGGCTCCTCTCACACTAGTGCACAAACTCAACAAAACAGCTACCATATTTCAACAAAAAATGATGGAAGGGCCTATCTGGGGAATTAAAGGCTTTAGATCTATATACAACTTCCCGGAAGCAAATCAGTTATTTGTGGCTGAATTGATAGGTTCCCAAATGGGAAATCTACGCTTCAGAAAACATTGTAAAGTAGCCAAATAAAAAGTGCTCTTTCAAGTAATTCTTATTGAAATATTAACTGAGTTCAGTCGTTAAAGCTAAACTTGATCAATCCTCTGCCTGACTTAAAGGTTAATCATAATGCTCAGTGATCTAACTAACCCTATTGCTACAGTTAATTTATTTTCCTTTGCTCACTCACTTTGATCCACAATTAATAATAATAATCCTTGCATTTTGATATAGCACTTTTCACATCTTCTAGACGTCTGAAAGTACTTCACAGAATAAACTGTAAAGTGAAATTACTGTATATTTGTGGGCGAAATGCAGCAGCCAATTGCGCACAGCAGTGTCCTACAAGCAGTCGTGGATTGAAGTGACCAATTTATTATTGTTTTTTCTTGAGGGATTATTATCAGGCGTGTGGAGTAAGGAAACTTGCCCAAGCTTTCACCCTGCTGGGAATCGAACCCAGATTTCTTGCTTGCAAAGCAAGTGCTCTAACCATTGAGCTACAGGACGCCACTCTTCCATATCTGCACAGGATCCAGATTAATTCAACTCAAATATTTATGAACCCTGTCATATAAAGCACCAGTGCTCCCATTACCGTAACATCCCCTTATGATCAGTGGGAATCTAAAATGTGATACTCGTAAGAATCAAGAATCCCTTAAGGCTTGATCTTGACTCTTTATCTGTTCTTCCAAGAACATGTGAATGGAGGATATTCCACAAGGATATAAAATGTAATCTAAAATGTAACCAGGCACACATGGATAATAATAATAATAATCCTTGCATTTGATATAGCGCCTTATCATGTCTTTGCGAAAATTTGATTACATTGAATTAAAATTAAACCAGCAGGTTGAAGGGTGTTATGTTCCTTTTTTGTTCACGGAGAAGAATCAAGCCAATCTACACCATTCCTTAACATTGGAGCTAGGGTGGTTAGCCGTGCTCAGGATTATGAAAATGTGGAATGCATTGCCTCAGAAGCCAGTAGATGTAGCCCTAGTTGGATGCTTGGGGAGTAAGGGTGTAAAAGAGTATGAAGAAAAAGCAGGAAAATGGGATAAACAGATGTGCCATGATCTTAATTGGGAACGGCTGTTGCAATAATGGGCTGCGTGAGGAGGTTAAATTGATCCCGGTCTTCCCATGGTCAGGGTCAAAAGAACCGCACTGCTGACAAGAGGTAGCTGGAGACAGGACCACAATCATGTGCCAATGGGGAGAAAAGTTAGAAGACAATTCACCACACGAACTTTATATAAAAAATGCATATGTTACAAAATTTGTCAGCCAGATTTACAACACAATTTGTTTCAATGTTGATGTTTGCCAAAATTGGATGACAGACACCAGACCCATCTCATAAAATGCCATGTGAATACAGTCACTTAAACACAATAAAAACCTTAAAGAAGATGATGATAGCTGCCACGAACACCCCAATGCTCTGCAGCAAGTCTCCAATGACATGTACAAAGGCAGCTCTCACACTGGTGTTGCCATGATGACCTGCTCCAGTGGTGCAACTGTCAACAGCGCCGTTTTCTAATTTCTCATAGCTGAATCCACCCCCATGACTGTGCCTGTGGACGTAACTGTGCAAAGGGGTTGACTGGTGCAGTATGACAGCCATTCTGAAACAACAAAACATTTGTGTAAGAAATTGTCAAATTCCTTCTTTTTAACAAGAGAACCAAAAGTTCTCATGGTCCAAGCCTTAAATCTTAAAATTAAAGGCAGCATTTGTGCAGAAATATTTCAAATGTTCTTAAAATACTTAGAAACAATTTTTCTGCCAGTTTCTAAAAAGAATTGAAAAAGAATCTTCCCATTTAACAAGGAATTTAAGAATTTTCTAAAATCCTGTACTATATTTGATTTTAAGGCTAAGACCATGACAGTTTTGAGCCTCTGGGGAATTTAATTTTGAATTTTATCAGCATTTTCACATTAAAATTCTCTTAAGCTTCTCTAACCTACCAGTAATTTTAATCATACGATATCTAAAATCATGTGTCTAATTTAATGGTTGAATATTATATCATGACATAAAATGGAATCACATACCAGTGGGACATCAGATCATAGCACTCTTCACCTGCATTTTACATTAAGTTTAGCAAGGAAGCTAAAATTTGACATTCAAGTCTTTTTAATTGGATATGTCATCCATGGAACCGGTCAAAGCTATTTTTTCTGCATGTGATTTGTGTTGAATGTTAATCCCCTTCCAAACTTTTCTAACATTGCCCAGTATTTTACTGTTGATAACAATTACGTGCTGTGTGTGTTCTGTTATCTGAACTAGAGGGACATGCTTGCAGGTTAAATATTCACATAGGAGGAATAAGGGAATGGACAGCACATTTAGAAAGCAATACTAAATATGTAAGTATTTGATGATGGCCCCAAAGAAACACTTGTAATATGTAGAGCTGTTAATTTATTGTTATTGCTGTTTTTGTGAAAATATTTCAACCTATTTTACTTTTTTTTGGTCAGTCAAGTGTTTGACACATGCGTAAAAGCATCACTATACTTAAGAGTATCCAGACCAGTCTGAGAATTCCACATATGTAATACCACCTTCACATGGAAATTGCCCTGTGCCTAAAATGGAACACACACTCTCTCCCCAGACAGAGAGAGGCTTACCTAATTCTGAAGTGTATTATAATAATCCGTGCATTTGATATAGCGCCTTATCACGTCTTCAAGATGTCTCAAAGCAGGCTTTTTGAGCGCAGGAGCTTCATAGCCAAGTTTGATCGTGCCCTCAACTGATGTGCTGCATGCACACTTTCAAGCAAAGGTCTCTGGATAGTGATCAAGTAAGAGAACTCTGGTTGATTGTCCCCTCCCTACCTTGGGGGTACTGAGGTAGCTGAACACCTCAACTGGTTCGCTGACTGAAATCAGCTAATTCAGCTTTGAAACTTCCTGTCTGTATAGTCTTACCACTGCACCATGTGGTTTCTTTGTCACTAAACCATTTCATGCAGTTCTGACACAGAAAATTAATGCTGATAACAGTAATAATAATTAATAAAGGGAAGGGTGATCAAAGCTGCAATACCAGACGGGAAATGTATCAGGCCTCACATTAGTAAATGGCATAATTTTAGTCTGTTCAGTTCCAGCTCTCCTGTCTCATTCACTTACCCAAGGGCACTCAAGAAATTGGCAACAGAAACTCAGCTTTCCAAGACTGGAAACTCTCAAGTATGGCAAAGGGATTCCACACACCTGGCAAACTGCTGAGTGACCACACATAAAATGCAGCCTTAAAAGCTATGAAGAAGCCCACACCAAAGACCATCACTCTTTCTGGCCTGAATATGACTCTAATAATTTTTACTCACAATAATTTCTCCTCGCTTGAAGACAATCACAGAGACCCTTTAGTACTTTTCTTAAGTGACTATTTTTTGGGCAAGGAATTTGTGCTGGCAAATTATTTACAAGGGCAGTTTTTTAACATTAACTTATTATTTTACCTCTTCACAGAGAGCAATGTGTTAGTCAGTGTTATGATTGCGACTAAAGTAATTATATATTATAGTATATGTTCGTAGAAAGACACTCAAAAGTGATGTTCCAATCTTGCACAACAATATATATGCAGTTATATGCTTTTCGTCTTGAGTGAAAACAAATCCCTTTCCCCACCATCAAAACAATGAATGGTTTATGTATTTCTGGTGATAAGAGTTTAGCAACAATATTTAGTTTGAATATTAAAACCAAATACTGTATAACTTTGAATGGTTAAATCCTCAAACGTTAACATTGCTTACATGATATTGACTCCTACTGCACACCCAGATGTTATAAGCATAACATGGCCTTCAATCTCAAAGTCCTTGCTGATCAGTCGCTGGATAGCAAGGTAGACCAACACCCCTGTCACCACCCAGATTGACAACACAGAAACAAGGGCCCCCAGAATCTCTATGGCACAAAGCAAAATAAGATATTAGTGCAAGATGAACCCATTCTTATATTACAATCTTATATTTCATCCACAAAAATACGCAGTCAATTCACTTTACAGTTTATTCTGTGAAGTGTGTTGAGACATCTTGATAAAGTGATAAGGCGGCTATATCAAATGCAAGGATTATATTATTATAAATGGATCCCTGTTGTTGCCTTTTTTGCACACTAGCTAAGGGGGAGCAACATAAAGTGACAACAACAAGGTATATTTCCAACAACAATTCAGTCTGCCTCAGAGAATCATTCAATACATTTTGCAATAAAATCCCAGTAAGGTAAACAAGTGACGTGCTAGCAATTTGGTGCGCACATTTTAATTAGAATGCCCATTTAGAGCAAACTGCAAACCGTTTCTTCTGTCATATGTACTATGTATAACATAGTAATAGAAAAAGACACTTATTGACAATAAAACAGTAAACTGCAGCAACACAATTGTTTTGAATCTTCTGAAAATAATTGGGAATAGACTACGCTGGATAATAAAAGCAAGTGGAATGAAACATGTTTCATTGTTATAAAGAGAAGATTCTCCATACTAACAATGTGTTTCCTGACTCTAGAATAGCATGAATATTTGGCTGTATTCATTTCAGACCAAAATCGTGACAAAAACCTGCTTCAAAAAACACTGAGGGCGAACTTTTCACTAAATAATTTAACTGTGAGACAGTTTAATGCAAATGAAGTTTTGACACTTACCTCCGAAAATGTATACATGAATAAATTTGGCGAATATAAGAGATATGAAATCATACAGCATTCACAAGGTACTTGCTCAAGTAACTATTTATGAATCGAGATTTGTTTATCTGTATATAAATGACTCTTAAACTATATTGATTTTAGCCCCAGAAATATTAATATCCAACATTTTCCTTTTAAAAAGTTGTGCTTATTGCTGATTAATAATTCAGCAGATTCTCCAAAATAGCCCTGAAGCATTATCTGGTGTAACAAATGCTACACAGTGACAGTTCAATCAAACTTGGGTGCTGATTCACACCCTTCCTCCAGCTCAGTGAGCCAAATAGAGAACTATGTTTTGATATAATAATAAACAATGTCTAATTTCCTATAATGTATGCTATTTTCAGAAGTGTATAAGAGTGCATAATTATTATGGTTTAAAATAAAATATTTATAAAAATGACACTGGTTTTCAGGCAAAAGAGCATCTATGAAACTGAAACGCACTCCACATCATTTACTGGAATTATTGTTAACAACAATAATAATAATTTACATTTATATAGCACCTTTCACACCAGGAGGACTTCTTAAAGTGCTTCACATAGTTGACTGGGCACACACAGTGGAGCGGGGGAGAGAGAGCTGGGGGAGGGGTGCAAAGATTATCCCAATACAGAACACATCTGGAAAATTAAAATATTTTGTTTTTACATTCCTGTCAATAAAAGCTCTTTTGCCTTTTTAAAAAAAAGTCAAAAATCATTATTAAAACCATGGATACTTCTGTTAAACGGTCCCTCCATTTTTAGTGATTGATCTTTCTGTTAGCTGCAAAATCAGCCTGTAAAGTTAGGTTTCAACCAATGAAAAAAATGTTTTATTTTAAATAATCCCATTTTCTAAGGTGGACTTTGAGTACTGAGAAAGTGAAGCTGAGGAAGGTTGGAAGCTGATATAGATCGTAAGCTGAGAAAGGTAAGAACCAGCAGATTTTAAAGTTAAAAAATCATTAAATAAAGCGCCTTCGATAGCTCAGCTGGTAGAGTGGAGGACTATAGCAGTCCTGAGCGGCCATGGACATCCTGAGGTCCCTGGTTCGATTCCGGCTCGAAGGACGCCATGTATTTTTGGGGGAAGACAAGTTTGCAGGGCTATGAGGAGAGAGCAGGGGAGTTGGATCGCTCTTTTCAAAGAGCCGGCACAGACACCATGGGCCGAATGGCCTCCTTCTGTGCTGTGTAATTCTATGATTCTATGAAAACGTTAAAACATAAGTGGCATTCTATTAACTGGCAATCCAATGTTTGGGAACGTTTATGTGACAGTGATCACTTCCTACCCTGCTGTCACACACTAATCTTAGAACACGGAGGTGAGATTGCGAAAAATAATCACATTTTCTTGCCAATTTCTTTTTTATTTTGTTACCTGTTAAGGTGGGAAAAATACACTGATAAGAGAAATAATGTCAGTTCAGTGAAATCCATAGCAAGGAATTGCTCTTATTGTTGCAGTTTTTGCTTGAATTATAATAATAATCCTTGCATTTGATACAGCACCTTATCATGTCATTGAAACATCTCAGGAGCTTTGCAGGATTTTCTTAAAATATAGTGGCTGTGACTGTGACTCCAAGACAGCCAATTTGTGCACAACAATGTCCCACAAACAGCCATGGCATTAATTTTATCTGGAGGATTTGGGGGCAGGACAAACTCCTTTCTCTTTTTGAATGTTGAATGAATCTTTAATACCACCTTAATCTCAGTTTAAATCTAATCCAAAGGACACCAACCCTGGCATCCCACTGTATTGGAGTGCCAGTCTTGACTATGAGCTCAAGTACGAACATAGGGCGTGAACCTACAACTTACAACCATCTAACTCAGAAGCGAGAGTGTTACCAAATGAGTCAAACTGACATTTGATAATTCAACATTAATGAGGCCGGAAACTGCACTTAGTGTTTACCGTCAGAAATACACTTGAGTAAAAATCCTGTCAAGTGATTTGAGACTTCTTTACAATGTGATAAGACACTATATCAAACACAAGGATTATCAAAAGCAAAGATTATTGCAGTGTTAGCCAGTAAAACCATTTTGTCTTAAAATTTAAAATCATACAGAATTGAAAAAAAATCTTTAAATCAGTCTTTCTTTGCACGAACCATGGAAGAAACAGCTTCTGAATTAAGAGTTTTTACATGTGTCTGTGTGATCCTAAATATTAAGACAAAATGGACCTATAGGGTAATACTACAATGTGAGAATTTCAAGCCTGTGAAACTAAACATAACTTCTGAATATGAGAGCTTAATTAAACTAGAAGCAAAGTATTATTTTTTATCTGAAATCACCAGGCACAGATTGTAATAATTTATTACATTTCCTCAAATAATCTAATTTGATTGCTATGTATTTCATTCTGTGTAGCAAAAATTTAGAGTTTCACACTAAATTAGCGTAAAATCTTAACAGCATGAATTCATACAGCATGCTTCCCACAAGATAGCATCTTGGAGCACTATAACAGAAACATATTTGTCCTACTTTATAATACCCTCCCGAATAATGGAAGTGAAACCAAAAGAATGGATCCATGTTTTCCAAAGCAGTGAGTTTCAATTAGATTTATACTTGTGGTGCTGGCAGATTTCCTTGATGGTACTGAGCCAGATGTATAACAACGCTTTTGTTCAGCAGGCCAATGGTTTCTTGGCATTGTGTTGTAGCAATCCCCTCATTATCCACATTGCAGACTGACTGATCAAGCATTGCGATTTGTAATTAGATGGCAGAGTTCTCACTTGGCATTCAGGTCTGGAGTCATGTACACTGTCAGACGAGTAACTTCCTCTCTCAGCCACTTGGAACATTGATGATTCTCACAGCAGATTAAAGACTGCTTAGGAGAAGCTTGTCTTCCCCTCGACCAGGGAAGCATATGTGATTCAGCATATGTTGTAACTACATTTTGTTTGGTTAGACGGCTATCTGACACACGTGGAAATCCATCAACGTGCTTAAGAGTATCCAAACCAAACTAAATTCCATGCATCCCACCTACACATGGAAATTCCTGAGATATTGATTGGAATGGATTGTGCCCTGTGTCACTGGAGGGATGCATCCCGTTTACTTAATTTTGGAAAGTATTAGGCGCAGGTTGGCAAGAGACCAGGGTTGGGGACCCCAGAGTATGTGTTGGGGATACTGCAAGAGTCTAACCAGCTAAAACCATATAGCTTGCCATTGAAAGAACTGTCTGACAAGCTTTCCCACTGCTTGTCTAGATAGAATCACCTTACCCATTAGGGCTTTGACTTGGAGGGTTAACAGCAGCTGAATGAGAAGAATCCCTACCTCCAGTGACTAATCTGTCCTTCCAAGTCCTGCCGATGAACCAGGCTGGCTGTGCTGCCATCAGCAGTGCCCTGGAGCACTGGGGGCATACTGGCTCAGGAACTGGACGACCAAAACCACCATAGAGGACTACTAAAATTAGATCTAATCTTAATTCAATTCACAATACCTTAATAGATATGGAGGTCCTAGCTGGACAAACAATGGCAAAGCTTGCCGGATTGTACTTGTAATGACAAGCAATGTGGTTTTAGGCTCCAGCAGTACCTGTGCATACTCTGGAGTCCCCAGGTCTTGGCTCTTGCCAACCTTGGATAATACAATGACATTTATACAGCACTGTTTACACAGGGTGGTGTTTCAGAATGTTTAATACTCTAAAGAATTATGTAAGCCAGATGCATCTCTTCAGGGAGAAAGTGCGCATTCCATTCTAATTCACATTAGAGCCTTCAGCTCCCCTCTCGACTCTCTTCCCCCTCCTCGCTCCCTCCCTTCCCTCCCCTCACCCTGACCATTTCCCCCCTGCTCGGGTCATGACCCAACTGTGCAGCGCCTTGGGACGTCCTCCTGACGTGAAAGGCGCTTTATAAATGGAATCTTGTTGTTGTTGTTGTTGTAATAAATATCTCGGGAATTTCCAAGAATTGTTGGGATGCATGGAATTCTCAGTTTGCTTTGGATATTCTTAAACATAATAGGTTTCCGCATGTGTCAGATATGGATGTGTTGTTACACGGATGATGNAAAAAAGCACTGGCAAGGACACATGGACCAAATGGCCTGTAATGCTGTAACATTTATGTAATTTAATATAAAAATAGTAATTATGAAATAGTCAGAGCCATCAAACGTTAAATTAAACAAACATATTGTACAAAAACAACAACAGCT